CTTCGGCCCGGACCCTTCTGGCGTGAGCCATGTTCCCGCGCACGCCTGCGAGGAGGACGCGGGCGGTGATGATGAGGACACCTTGCCGCTGCCTGGCGTCCAGGCAATGCTTTTCTTTCCGCAAAAACTTTACCGGCCTGTGTGTCAGGAAGATGCTGACCAAGCTAGCCCAGCCCCAGAAACCCCGAAAAGGAGTCTTGCTTCAGACACTTCTTTCACGCGTTAGGCCCAACACGTTTCTCAAGACTCAGCTGCGACGCATGCACAGTCACATTGAGGATTGAGGGGGTGTGATTCTCCTCCCACACACTGCTTCGCTTGCAAGGACACTCGAGAAAAAGACGGACGAGACATGGATGAGACACCGCCCTTGCCAGCTCACAAGCGTCTCCAAGAACAGGCGTGCTAAAACATGCTAGGTGTAAATGTCTGTGTGCGCGCGTGCGCGCAAGCAGGACGGTGACAGTGACAGCTACAACGACTGCGTGGAGGCGTGCGTTTCTCTTGACGGCGTGGCGCTTGCAACCTTGTTAGGACACCCCTGTGCCTTCTGACTTTGTCCAACACATCCAGGACCTGGAGGCCCGCCCTGTGTCACGCTCTGCTCTTGGCTTGCTTTTTTTTTGCAGGAAGCCTGCGCGGATGGGTCGGACAAGGTAGTGCTTGCCAGCACTCGCAAAAGCGCGCTAGCGCCCATGCCCAGGAAACGGAGCCGTCTCTTGAAAAGAGCCCAGCGGAGGACTTTGCACCCACTTCGCTGCCTGCGCAATCAACCCAACCTGCAGGACAGCCAACGTCTTTCCGATGATGACCAGGCGAAGGTTTGGCTTCGTGGCCTTGTGTCTTTCGCATTCGGGTGCGCACGCCTTGCAGGAGCACGATCAACAGAGCGAGTGTGAGCAAGTTGAGGAGATGCGCGTGTGTCGGCTTTGCTTTGCTGAAGCCTGATCTCAGGATTCCCAGCGCAGTGACATTGAACGCCGCGAGGCCCACCGCTTGCTGCCTCCACATCTCTCACCTGTCAGTCTTTCAAACCGCGCAGGAGTCTCCGTGCGCCTCTGAGAGCAAAACCTCTGTGGAGGACCGCCCTTGCCGTTTGCTTCTTGCTGCTCGCTGCGAACAGGGCTCAGCAGGGTGACGCGAACGAGTGGGTGCCAAAGTCGCAAACGCTCGGCATTGTGAAATATGTGTGTAACATGTCAGGTTGACAAAACATAAAACGGGTAACTTGAGCTGTGTGATTCATACTTGGGCCATTTACGGCCCGAAGTCCGAAAAGAAACATTGGCCGTAAATGCCGATTGTTGTATGAGCAATTCAGTCAAGAGGTTTCTTTGGCTCAAGCGCGACAAGGACAACTTGTTTTGCTCTGAACTCATGTTCTTCTTGAGTGCGGTAGGACCCTGACTCTGGCTCCGAGCTTGCCCAGGAAAACGTTCTTTTGGTTGTGGCTGCTGAGCGCGCGCATGCCAGGACTCGCGACGCGGGAGCTGTGACGAGGCTGACGAGGACTGAAGCATGTTTTGCTTGCTTCTTTGGCGCGCTAAAAGAAAGTGCTCCCCAGGACCCGTGCTCTGACAGCGACCGGGAGCTGACCCAGGACAGCGCCCGTGTGTGAGTGTGTCTTAGCTTGTGGGGGTGGACGTGCAGCAGGAGGATTCGCAGTTTGAGGGTGTTGGCGAGTTTTCGAAGGACTGCTTGTTGCATTGTTTCTTTCCCTGTTGTTTGGGCGCGAGCCTGGCAGGATTGCGACCAAGGTGAGAGGAGTGAGGGAGACGCGCTTCTTGCTGAGGCCGCTGCAGAGCTTGTTTTGCTAATTCTTTGCCGGCTGAGCAGGACTCTCAGCTGGAGACGGACCACAGAAACCAGGTTCAGGACCTGACCCACCAAGCGCGCCTCCTTGCGCTTAGCAGTGGCAGGACTTTTTAGACAGCAAGGCCGACCCCGCGAAGGAGCTTGCAGATTGCCCAAATCAAACTTTGCTGCGCTCGCTTGCCTCTTGTCGGCAGGACCTCCAAGATTGCAAACTCAATGGGCATCTCGAAACGTGCTTGGAGCAAGACGAGGCCTGCCCTTCCCTTGAACTCCCCTTGCCTGGCCTATCACAGCTCTGCAGGCGCACGCAGATGAAGACATCCTGGACGTGGCCTTCGAGCGCGCAAAGGCAGTGGCCGCGCCCAAGAGTTGGGAAGTCGCTAAAAAGCTGCTTGAGGATCATGTTGACACCCCTGGTGTTCAAAGTGTGCCTCGCAAGCAATAGAACTTACCTTTGTCCTTAAAAATGTCTTCGAAAAGGAAGTTCGCCCTACAAGGGACATTGCCCACGCTTCAGGGGGAAGGGCAGGAAACCTTGGTTGAGAAGCATGCCAATCTTAGGCGAAGCAGGAGCGCAAAAAGAAGAAGAAAGGGTGCAAGAGAAACAAGAACAAGAAGAGCAAGAAGCGGGCGATTCTCAAGAAAGTCGAGGATGAGAGCAAGAAAGTCAACAAGCAGAAGAAGAAGCGAGTTTCAACCAAGCCGGCTGACAGCAACAAGCCAGCAAAAAAACGCAGCAGTGAGGAGGCCAACAGCCCGTGGATCTGGCAAGGGCATGACTTGCAAGCCCTTGGCTTCCCGGAACAAGCGTGGCCAACCGCAGAAAAAACCTCTGGCACAAAGAGCTTCACCTTGGTTTGCAGCCAAACCTCTGCCGCGCCTTGGCAAAAAGCAAAGGTCACATTTTGGCATGTTTTTGGCATGTAGTTCGCACTTGCGTGTTTTCGAGGCGATCGAAGCAATTTTTTCCCGGCGCGCCTTCCTGGTCAAGCGCTTTGCGACGGGCATCGCGCCTGTCAAGGGGTCTCCCAAGCAGTTCTCGTGGGCGAAGTATGAGGGGGCTGGGGCCGCGTGGGTTGCCGCTGCAAAGGCGGCTGGGTTTGAGGCTCAACACGCAAGTTCGCCATAGAGGCTGATGAGCGCTGTAAGTAGGATTCTAGGGGGCGCCGTGCAACCTGTGTAGCAGGGAACCAGTGAACATCACTGATGGGAGCTCACAGTTGCGCAGTCAAACTCAAGAGGTGCGGCAAAAGGCTTGCTTGCTGTTTGCTCACTGTTGCCAATGTTTGAACCCTCACGTTGTGTGGACTGCAAGGTGCTTTCGAATCAGGGGCTACGTGGCTCCTCAGGCTTTGTTTTTTCAAAGAAAGAAACGGCTTTTTGCTGGCGCGTGAGGCGGGTGTGCATGGAGCCATCTACAACCTTGGAGGCCTGCCCGGATTCGGGGTCAAGTTGCTAGCCCTTCTTGCTGAAAGGTGGTTTGACGCCGTACTAGCTTGGTGGAAACCCTCGTCAAGGGTCAAAAGCTTTGGGGCGACAAGTTCGAAATGTCCGAAAACATTCTTGTTGGGGCGCAACAGTCTTGGAGCAGTAAAGTTCGAAACGCCTGACCCCAAACAAGCGCAGTGCAAAAGCAGTAGTGGAACACTTGATAAGGAGCTTGAAGTGAAGCTCAGCACGTCAGCAATTTGCCTTTTTGAGATCGCGCAAGAGTTGAGGGTCCACCCAATGCCTTGGTTTTCGGCACACCTGCCATCACGCAATGCGGCGCTAGGAAAAATAAAGCATCACCTCCATCTGAAAACAATGCTCGTTTTTTTTTCGACCCGAACAAACAGATGAGTTGACAGGGTTTCCACAGTTTCCACTCCACCCTCGCCGCCGCGTCAGTTGTCTTTGCCTTGGAAGGTTGCCTGTCACCGTGCCTTTTTTGTGGGCGGCCATGGACGCTGCTTCAAAACCCGGAAAGAAAGCCCTGAAGAAGAACATGCCGTTTAAGCCGGATGGGCCCTGCGCCGAACCTTCTGCAGCATCCGACGCCTGGAAGACCAGGCACAAGGTCGCGGTCATGGCTGGCCTCAAAGCGTTGCGTGCTCCGGCTGATGCTTGGCAAGAATGGCAATCCGAAACAATGGTGCCTTAACAAATTTGGATTGTCTAACAAGTGGGGGCATCCTATAGAGCCAACGGAACAAGAGTTGACGCAAATCATGAATTTAGGTTCCCGTTTTTCCATAGAAACAAGGGAACCTATTTCGGCTACTGCGTTGGACACAAACTTCACCTCTCGCCGCGCCAGCTGAATAAGAGTTGCGTGATGCAAATCATGAGTTTAGGTTCCCTTTTTTTCATAGAAACAAAGGAACCCATTTCGGCTAACGCGTTGGACACAAACTTCACGTCCACCACAAAGCAGGCAAAATCTGCGCACGCCTTATGTCCACCACAAGGCAAGTAAAAATCAGCGTGCGGCAAATGTCCACCACAAAGCAGGCAAAATCTGCGTCCACGACAGAGCAGGCAAAATCTGCGCGCACCTTATGTCCACCGCAAGGCAGGTAAAAATCAGCGTGCGACAAATGTCCACCACAAAGCGGGCAAAATCTGTTATGTCCACCGCAAAGCAGGCAAAATCCGCACCTTATGTCCACCACAAAGCAGGCAAAATCTGCGCGCGCCTTATGTCCACCGCAAGGCAGGTAGAAATCAGCGTGCGACAAATGTCCACCACAAAGCAGGCAAAATCTGCGTCCACGACAGAGCAGGCAAAATCTGCGCGCGCCTTATATCCACGCGCACCTTATGTCAGCCACAAAGCAGGCAAAATCTCTTATGTCCACCACAAAGCAGGCAAAATCCGCACCTTATGTCCACCACAAAGCAGGCGAAATCTGCGCGCACCTTATGTCCACCACAAAGCAATAACTGTTTTCCATTTTCTGGAAAGAAGAACTTCTTTCGGCCAACGTGTTGGACACAAACTTCACCTCCTTCCTCCAACGGACACCAGCTGTGAGTTTGGCAAAAACATTCAGTTGCTGGTTGAGGTGATCGCCCTTCTGGCGACGCTTGTGTTTTCCTGCCCGAACTTGGACTGGAGCCCGATCGACCACCTGGAGACGTTCGCCGGGTAGTCACAAGACTCCCTCAACAACAAATAAGTAGATGATGAGTGGCGCACGGTTTTAGGCAAGGCGCTCCCGAGGATAGGTCTGGCTCATTTTGAGATCCCGTCCTCCTTTGCAACGCGATTTTCCACTGGAGTCCGTGTAGCGGATAACCATCTCCTTTGAGTGGCACCGCTTGCGAGGATGCTTGTGCAGCAGGAGGTCGTCCACCTCTTCGTGGCCTGGGCCACAGACGAGAAACTGTTTTTGTGTCTGTGATGAGGGGTGTTGAAACTGGATGGTTTACAAACAAAGGCAGGGCGCTGCTGTACAGTATGGTCCGCTTCTGGGTGTTTGCTCCGAAGTCCTTCATGTCGAAGATGAGCTTCCGCACGTGTAGAATCTTGAGCATCTTCTGGAAGGATGGGTGGGTCTCCATGATCGAAGTCGACGGCTGCTCCAGAAGCCAGAAGATGCCCTTGGCAGCAGCGAGAATGCAAAGCACCGCGCAGCGAGCCACGTGCAGATTGCCGTCGGCCACTTTCTGGCTGTCGCCGCGGCCAAGTGGCCTTGTGGGCGACCTGAGAGTCGATCCCCTCGACATGAACACCCAAGTGCTGCAAACGGGCGCGTGAAGCGCCCCTCCCCCAGGAGAGGTTCGCAGTGTCTGGTACACTGCGTTGGCGAAGCCCGCCGGAGAGCAGAAGTCCATGCAATCGCCCCCCACCAAGATCTCGAAAGGGACCGCCTTGCGTCCAGCCTGCGCACCAGGTACAAGGTTGTTTCCGAGCTGCTGCAATGAACTTGCCATGTTTGCGCGCCAAACAAAAACGACTTTGCGACGACCTTACACACTTGCGCCTGCCATTCAAGGCCCACGCCTCCCTCCAGTTCCCACTGGCGCTTCAGCAGCAGCGGCTGCAGGTCGTAACTGGGGCAGGTCCACCGAAGCATCTGCGGCTCGTTGCGGGGCTTGATGGACATCATCTGTCGTTTATACCAGCACGCTTGCGCCTGCCGTCAGCCGGTCGTAGGCCGACTGCCTCTCCAGCATGCAAGCCCTTTTTCTTGATGTTTGTGATGCCCTTGAAAGCTTAGGGGGCCGCTCCCCTTTGTCCACAACTTATGACTCAAATTTCGGGCTCCGGCCACTCGAAAAAAGCATATTCAAAACACGGGGGCTGGGGCTGTGGCCCAAGTTGTTTCCAGGCAGAAGCTTTGTTTTGTTGCTCACACAACAGCAAGCCCCTTTTTGAGTGTTGTGCTCCCTCCTTTTGTGAAATCTTAGGGGCCGTTTGGCGGGGTTCCCTTTTTCAATCTGCGCCCAACTTGGGCTTTGGCCCAAGTTGTTACAAGGCAATACGCCTTGCCCCCTTGTGCGCAGCCGCGCGCAATAAAATCAAAACTATTTAAACCGAGCACCTTTCCAAGTCGGGCGTCTTCTTGAGCGTGCTCCTTTCGCCCCTCAAATCTTAGGGGGGCGTTTGGCAGGGTCCAGTTTTCCAACTGTGGCTCAAACTGCTTCAAGGTGGCCCTTTTTGAGTTCGGGTCTCTAACCGCTCGCAAAAACACAAGATTATTCAAACCGTGTGCCTTTCTATATTGCGCTCTTTTGTGAGCCTCTCCCTTTGCCCTTTTTCCCACTGTGCCCGACTTGGGCCGCTCGCAAAAAAAAAGAAAGAGGATTGCTACAGGAGAACAACCAAAGCTTTTTGGAGGACGTATCCTTGTGAGCTTGTTCAAGCTTAGAGACTGCAAGCAGTTGTATCACCAAAGCACTCTCCTCTCAAAACAGGATGTGTCCTTCTCTGAGTTGGTTTCCCTCTTTTTCACAGACCGTGGCCTCTCAGGTTTGGGCACGCCCTGTCAGCTGTCCGCACCAAGAACTTGAAGAAAATCAAAGCCAAGGCGAAGAAGTTCCTGCGAGACGCCAAGGTGAAGGGTGGCGAAGTTGACAGGAACCGACGCTCCAACGCCCACTGGGTCAAGCATGCCAAGCTGATGCCAGTGTTTGAGTATCTCGCCGGACGGTGAGGCTTTTCTTAGCTTATGATGTTCGCTCAAGCGAGAAATTCATGTGTGAACACGGTGCCTGGACTTAAGCCAGATTGGAAAGGACCAGTCAATTCCCACAAAGGTTTGGGTTGGGGTGGCTTGCCAAGGGCGCCGTGTTAGTGCCAATTGGGGTCGGCTTTGAGGTGAAAAGAAAGCTGGCTTTGCAGCCAAATCTTGACCAAACAAGTTGGCGCATGACCACACAAGTTGGCGCGCCCGTGGTGTTTTCACACCCCCTGGCGCCAGGCGAGATGCCGCGCCTTGCTCTTGGACACTTCGCAGGAGCGACCTGCCGCGGTTGGGCTCTAAATTCGGCCACGTTTTGTCGAGAATTCAGCAGCGATTTGTCGAGAACGGCAACGATTTGTAAAAGCCCGTCTAGTTTGTATGTCCTAAGTTGGGAACACCCTCACTCGAAAAATTGCGCAGGGGAAGGGTAGGGTTTCATCACGCCTGCTTCAACATTCGGCCACGATTTGTCGGCAATTCGGCACTGGTTTGTACCCCGACTCACATCGGCATCTACAGCCCAAGCTTGTGTGGCACTGCTATGCCGGTGTCTCTGAAGAAGAAGCCTGCGCACACCGAAGTCGCAAGCGGCAAGAAAAGAGCAAATCTGCAAGACCAGCAGAGGATCCGTGACCAGAAGGAGGCAGAGGGCAGGGGCAGCAATCCAAGCAGGAGCAAGGAGACAAGCTCAATGGAGGAAAGAAAAAGCAAGGAGACAGGTTCAGAAAACACTGAGAAGGCTGCAAAGACTGAGAGGCGCACAGGGCAGCAAAGCGCAGGCAAGGAGACAAGAAGGGAGGAGTGGAAAGCCAAAAAGACAAGTTCAGGAAAGGCTGAGAAGGCTGAACAGCGCAGTAGCAGCCCTACGCAGGCAAGCGAAAGCAAGGAAAGTTCTTCAAGAAGGGAGGGGCGCAAAAGCAAGGAGACAAGTTCAGGAAAGGCTGAGAAGGTTGAAAAGCAGCAGCAGCCCTAGCAAGGAAAGTTCTTCAAGAAGGGAGGGGCGCAAAAGCAGGAGGAGACAAGTTCAGGAAAGGCTGAGAACAGCAGTTGAAAAGCACAGCAGCAGCCCTACGCGGCAAAGCGAAAGCAAGGAGACAACTTCAAGAAAGGAGGAGCGCGAAACAAAGGAAACAAGTTCAAAAAATGCTGAGAAGGCTGAAAGGCGCAGTAGCAGCCCTACGCAGCAAAGCAGAAGCAAGGAGACAAGAAGGGAGGAGTGGCAAGCCAACAAGACAAGTTCAGGAAAGGCTGAGAAGGCTGAACAGCGCAGTAGCAACCCTACGCAGGCAAGCGAAAGCAAGAAGAGTTCTTCAAGAAGGGAGGAGCGCAAAAGCAAGGAGACAAGTTCAGGAAAGGCTGAGAAGGCTGAAAGGCGCAGTAGCAGCCCCACGCAGCAAAGCAGAAGCAAGGACACAACTTCAAGAAGGGAGGAGCGCAAAAGCAAGGAAACAAGTTCGGGAAAGGCTGAGAAGGCTGAACAGCGCAGTAGCAGCCCTACGCAGGCAAGCGCAAGCAAGAAGAGTTCTTCAAGAAGGGAGGAGCGCAAAAGCAAGGAGACAAGTTCAGGAAAGGCTGAGAAGGCTGAAAGGCGCAGTAGCAGCCCCACGCAGCAAAGCAGAAGCAAGGACACAACTTCAAGAAGGGAGGAGCGCAAGAGCAAGGAGAAAAGTTCAGGAAAGGCTCGCAGCAGCAGCCCTACGCCGCAGAGCACACGCAGCAGCGTTATGACGCAAAGCAAAAGCAGGGAGTCCAGCGCAAGGAAGACCGACAAGCGCAGCAGCAGCCCTACGCAGCACAGCAAAAGCCCCGAGAAACAAAGCAAGAGCCGAGAGTCCAGCGCCAGCAAGACTGAGATGCGCAGCAGCAGCCCGACACATCGCAGCAAAAGCAGGGAGCGCAAGACAAGCGAGACCGAAAAGCGCAGCAGCAGCATCCCTACGCAGGAAAGCAAAGGCAAGGGTCAGAAGCGCCGCAGCTGCCTTCGGTGGCCAAGCAACAGCACGGGACCAAAGGAGAAAACCAGGAGTAGGAGCCCGACACAGCCAAGCAAGAGTGTTGCGGTAGTCCCTACCAAGAGTGGCAGACGCAGCAGCAGCCCTGCGCAAAGCGAAAAGGATAGTCAGCAAGGCAGTCGTAAGCAAGGCAGCTCAGCTGAGGCAGATGCAGCAACAGCAGCAGCGCGGGCAGAGCAGAGCAGCGGAGCAGAGAGGGGCAGGAGCCCTGTTCAAGAGAGCAAAAGAGCGGAGACTGACAAGGCGGCGCTCAGCAGAAAGACTAAGGCGCTTTGTCGGGCGCAAAGAAAAAAACGCGACCAGTTTTGGGCCCGGTTCATCACCAGAAAAAGAAAACCGCGCGCAGTTTGGGGCTTCCCTCAAAAACCGCGAAAACCAGAACCCCGAAGCCCGTCAGCAGAAGAACTTGGGCGTTTCTGGGAAAAGTTCAAACGAAATCGCGCGAAGGCAGCTGAGCAAGCAGAGGACTATGACAGCCAACCCTTGGAGCAGTGTGAGGACTTGGTTGGAGAGGAAGAGGAAAATTCAGAAGAAGCAGAGGATGGAGAGGAAGAGGCGCAGGAGGTAGACTGCGAATGCGAAGTGGAGGATGAAGCCGCAGAAGATCCAGAGGAAGAGGAGGAAGCAGAAGCGCTTGGAGGGCAAGATGATGAGGAAAGCAGCAGCGACTTCGAAGTAGCAGAGCCTGCGCAGAAGCCAAACCGTGCGCCAAAGCCTGGCGCGCAGAGCCTCGCAGTGGTGGTCGCCAAAGCTAACACTGACGTAAAGAAAGTCAGGAATAGTTGCTTGGTGTCAGTTTGCAACCGGTTTCATGTTCCCTTGCGTGTGTCCAGAAGTGTTTTCCACACTGACGCGTTCCGGTTGCCAGGCAAACAGAAACATAGTGGGATAGGTCTGTTTGCCTCAACTAAGGCAGCACAAACAAGGCAGAGTGGGAGGCGTTTAGCCGCGCCGTTGCAAACCGCAAGTCGTTTCCAACACAGCTAGCGCAACACGCTACCAAGAACAAGGTTGACCTCTTCAACGCTTGGCTTGACGCTGACCGATGCTGGAACCAGACCCAGCTCATCGTAGAGCGCAAGCGGAGCGTCAACAACATGTCCTCCTCTGGTTGGATTGCTTGCCAGGGCAAAACCCTCCGCCCGCATTACCCTGGTGACAAGTTTGACCAGTTGGTTCAAAAGCGGAAGTCTGCCGGTCTTTGGTATGACGATGCGGATTTCCCAGGGGATGTGGACGAAGCTTGGAGCGCATAGCTTCTACCAAAACAGGGTTAGCTTTTCACAAAGGGCTCCACTAAAAAGGGCTGTTTCCAAAACCCCCAAGCTAGGGTTGCCTGTTCTCTCAATCCACGGCTCCTTCAAAAATGTCAAAGCTTTGCCTTTCCTGCAACGTTGGGGTTCCTTATCAGTACTGTAGCTACTGGGCCCCTTTCTCAAACAGGGCTGCGTTCTTATAAGAGACGCGCTGAGGAGCAGTGGTTCTACATGCGGGCAGGGCGTGAGGTGAAGCGCACGGACGCGACAGTGGACGAAGCCACAATGAGTGGCAAGGCGGACCTTGACAGCGCCATGGTGAAAGCTTTGACAGACGAGGACGATGGGCTCATGGCAGCTGGCGCTTTGCCAGCCGTGCACGCGCAGGGCGGGCAGAAAGACATGCTGGAAGCCTTGCAGGCCCCGGGCGAGACGGTTGCAGTAGCGAAGAAAAAGCCCAAGCCAAAGGCGGAGAGCGGCGGTTCGGAGTTGGCGAAGCCCAAGTCGCCACAAGAGTTGCTTGCCATGAGCTTGTCGTGTTTTGCTACAGGGTTTTTGTCAGGCACCATGAGAAGTGTAGTTTCACAATGAACGTTTTGTTGAAGGCTTGCGGCAGCTCGCCTGGCTGACTTGCTGGTAGAGTCTACATCTGCCCGCAAGAAGAGCATGACGCTGGGAGCTACAGAGTTTGCAGGAGAGCTAGCTGCCCAACTCCTTAACCACGCGGAGACGCTTGAGAAGACCTACAAGGAGCTTCAGGCAGCTTTGGCCACCAACAACACGGACAAGGGCTTCTACACAAAGGTTTGCCGAACCTTAGACGAGAAGTGCGCGTGGTTTGTTACTGCGGAGGCGGGGGCGGGGTAGTGAGTTGCTTGGCATGTGGTTTGGTTTTTTGGCGTTTTCCAGTCTTGCGCGCTTGTGGTCAGGCGGCAGCTGATTCGATACTTGCTGGGCTGAAGCGTGCGGAGAAGAAGCGAAACAAGGACAAAGACGACAACGAAAAGGAGCCGCCTGCAAAGCGTACGAGCCGAGGCTAGGCGAGGAGGGCAAGCGCGATGTTGCATAAGGCAGCCATAAGGGCCAGCCGCGTTTTGATGGAGTGTGATGCTTGAGTTCAAAAGTGCGACGTTTTGCTTGAGACTCTCAACATTGCGTGTGATGTTTCACTTTCACTTGATGCGCTTGACTCTTCTTCAAGTTACTGTTGCTCTGACTCCGACTACGTGTTCAGGACACGTGCCAGCTGGCTTCGCCAGGCCACGGGCGCTTTGCAGCTTGCTTGAGCGTCAGCTTCTTGTTGGCAGGCCTATGAAGCGGGCGCGGGAGGAGGAGGAGGAGCGAGAGCAGGGCTCTCAAACTGTGGACAAATTGCTGGAGCTAGTTGGGCGCGGGCGCATCGACGTTACCTGCGCTACGGATGTGGCGCGCGCAGTGCTTGGCGACACTCCTGCAGACTGTGCAGCGCCACCCCTGCGTAAGATCACTAGGCTTGCCTCTCTCGGGTGCTCCGGAAGCCATCAACAAAACGCTGAGCGCGACTTATACAGGTGGCTGAAAAACAACTTTGACCTTCGCTTGCAAACGTATGAGATCGTGCTTGAGCTGCAGGCGCGTTGCGATTGCAAGCTTGATGCTGAGGAACCCTTCGTTGCGGTAAACACTTAGCTCCTGAAGCCCAACTTTGGTTGCCCAACTTAGACTTTCGCTTCCGCTAAATTCCCAAAGCCAGCCAAGCCTGAACCACAAGCCCTTGCAGGTGCGAGGCCTCTGCGCAGAGCGTGTTCCAGCCCATGTTCTTCTCCCTCACGAGGTCTTACACGCCCTGGCCTGCAGCAACCAGAGCGTCTTTCAAAGCGTTATCATGGGGGACTTGTCTGAGGAACAAGTTGTTCTTTTTTGGGAGCACGTGCATCTACAAGAGCCTTGGAAAGACCACCCAGTTATCAACGCTGAGAAAGAAGCACGCCGCCTTGGAAAGCTCATCCCCGTGACCTTTCACTCCGATGGTGTTGAGACGTTTTCCAACAGCGAACATTTTGTGTGGAGCATCAGCTCTGCCTTTGGGCATGCGGGGCTGGTCACTGATGTGCTGATGAACCGGTTTCCCTTGGTAATCTTGCCAGAGTCCCAGATGCAAGACACTGTTGAACCTAGACAGCATTGGCTTTGCACGCAAAACAATGGGGAAAAACATTGATCCTGCATTGCTCAGGTAAAATCAAACGTGAACAAGACCATCGCCAAGCTAGCGGCGTGGAGTCTGGAACACGCTGCTCAGGGAAGAGCCCCTTCAGTTGGATTCTTTGGGGAAGAATTCCCAGCGAACACTTGGAGATCTGATATGGCTGGCCAGCCGCTTGCCGCAGGGCACCGGAACCTTTGACTGAACAATTCAGCAGATTGATTTGGGGGCCCGCAGCAAGTTGAGCTGGGGATCCAACTAAGGGCATGTTTCTTCACCATGAAAGCAGACCTCAAAGCGCGCCACGAGGCGCATGAGTTTGACCGCTGGTATGCGTGCACTGCGTGGCCTGTCTTGATAGCCTGGCTTTCCAACTATTGCGTTTGGTTTGTAGGTCGTACCCAACTAACCCTCTTTTTTTGAAAAATGGAACTTCCTAGTTTCACCAAGTGCTCAGTGTGGATGCTTGCTCTGAGGCTTTGTGACGTGTGCTTTGCAGAGAAGCCAGCAAAGAAAGGGCACCCTCTACTGAACTTTAAGAACATGGCCCCTGGGGCCGCGTATGAGATGACCCAGCTGAGCCACGAGACTTACATCAAAACGCACCACGTTTCGCCCTGGGCGTGTGTTTCTGGGTGGAACATTCACGCATGCGTCTTTGACTTTATGCACATGTGCTATTTGGGCACAGCTCGAGACTGGATAGCATCAAGCTTGAAAATGATGATCCTACATGGTGTTTTTGGGGCAGGCTGGGGTTCTGACGATGAGATACTTGCTGAGCTGACTGAAGAGATCAAGCTGGTTTGTTCTCAGCACGGGCCCCGCGGCAACATAACGTGTTGAGTCGCATTTCGGCAAAACAGGGTAGGACATGTTTTTGGAACCCGCATCTAAGGTTGTGCTTTCCTGGGCCAAAGCTCACCTCCGCAAACTGCTCTTTCAGCGGGGATTATGCTGAACTGGGGTCACGCTTCAAAGCATCTCCAACAAAGGTTCTGCTGTGGTGGCTGGCGAGGAAGTCCGTAGAAGCAGCAGATGCTGCCCCTGACGATCCTTTGCTGGTTTAAACAACGTGTTCGCGTTGCAAAAGAGTTTCGTGTTTCGTGTACGCTTGATAGGCGGTAAAGGGTGCAGGGTGTTGGAACTCTCCCTTAGAAACTCAGGCGCGCCTTAATTTGAAGGTGCCGTGCGAAAGGGAATGGAACACCAGAACTTGTTTTGAAGCAAACTCTCGTGTCTAGGACAAGCCACTTCAAGTTCTTGCTCAGGGGTCTTGGGCGCTGAATCGAGCCATCGAGATCTTCGATAGATCTGGCCTGATTTTGGAAGACGGCGACGCTGTTGTCAGCCACGATCTTCTTGCGCAGCACCTGCAAGCGTTCCAGTGGCTCGCGGCGCACTCTTCCGCCCAAAAGCTGTGGCTCTTTCGACTGCGGCCAAAGGCTCACTACATGTGGCACATAGCAAAGCAAACCCGTGATTGGAAAATCAATCCATGGGTACACCATTGTTTTTCAGAAGAATCCTTTCTGGGAAAGCTGAAGCGGATCTGCGTGCAATGCCACGGCAAGACGATGACCAAACGGGCCCTCCAGCGATATCTTATTTGTCTTGGTTTGTACATCGCATCCCATCGAAAGGCACGGCAGGAGCTGTGCCTTGTCTGACGCCGCTGCGGCCCGCATGAGGGCTGACTCAGACGCTACGAAAAAGCTCAAACATGTCACTATCTTGAGTGTTTTCTCGTGCAATGGTAGTAGGCTGACGTGGGGTGCTGGGCTGTCAAACTTTCTGAAAGGGAAACCGCCGATCAGATTCTTCACTCAAATATCCCGAAAGTAGTTTCGAGAACCCTCTTGTTGAACTATCCCCACGAATGAAAGAACAAGAAAAAGTAACTAAGAACTTGTTAGGTTGTGTGTGACTCAAAATGGTTGTCAAAATGCCTAACAGGGGAACTGCGCCCAACCCCATATGTTCACTTTCATGGGCTACAGGTCCTCAAAAGGCGTCGAGGCGGCTATGCACCTTATTATGCACCTTGTTCACTGTGGCGCCAGACATGCGAGCCGAAAAGTTGCATGGCCCAAGCGTGGCTGAAGTCACGTCCCCGCACAGAAGTCAACACACAGGTTGTAGACGCTACACACACTCCACAGACTCCACAGACTCCCCACACTCCACACCCCCCACACACCCCACACACTCCACACACTGCGCACACTCCACACACCGCGCTACACACACTGCGCACGCAAAAGACGCACTACCAGCAATGCGCACACACACACACACTACGCGCGACGCACGCACAGACACACACACAACACACATGGCGCCACACGCGCTACACGCGCTACACACACGGCGCGCGCACGCGCGCCGCACACACGCACACACACACACGCACCACACTTGCTACACAAACCAAAGACACACGCGCAGGCGGGCATGCAAAGACTGTCACCAACCAAAAAACCAAAAGGGCGCAAAAGCTCCACATCGCCTGTTGGTGTTTGAATTTTCTTAGCTGCTTGGCGTTCTGTAAGGCGCTGAAAAAGGAGCCGGCCAGTGCAAAAATGCTACACCGTTTTGTTGTTGTTTTTGCGAATCGCCCGGTACGCTCTGACACCGTCGCGGAAACACACCTAGAAGCATGCAACGGCACTCCTTGACTGCGTTTCTAGGCGCGTGGTAAGGCGTGTGATGAAAACCGAGCCGGCCGGTGCGAAAATCCTACACCGGTTTGTTGTTTTTTCTAGATCGCCTGGCGCGTTCTGACGCCGTCGCGGAAACACACCTGCGGTCAAACACGCCTTGACTGTATTTCTAGGCGCGTGGTAAGGCGTGTGATGAAAACCGAGCCGGCCGGTGCGAAAATCCTACACCGGTTTGTTGTTTTTTCTAAATCGCCCGGCGCGTTCTGACACCGTCGGAAACACACCTGCTGTCAAATAGCGCTCTCCCTGGAAGCATGCGACGGCACACCTGGCCGCGTTTCTAGGCGCGCGGTAAGGCGTGTGATGAAAACCGAGCCGGCCGGTGCGAAAATCCTACACCGTTTGCGTTTTTTTCTAAATCGCCCGGCGTGTCGGAAACACACCTCGGTCAAACAGCTCTCTTCCTGGAAGCGTGCCACCGCATGGTTAGGCGCGGAAACACACCTGCGGTCAAACACGCCTTGGCTGTATTTCTAGGCGCGTGGTAAGGCGTGTGATGAAAACCGAGCCGGCCGGTGCGAAAATCCTACACCGGTTTGTTGTTTTTTCTAAATCGTCCGGCGCGTTCTAACACCGTCGGAAACACACCTGCTGTCAAATAGCGCTCTCCCTGGAAGCATGCGACGGCACACCTGGCCGCGTTTCTAGGCGCATGGTAAGGCGTGTGATGAAAACCGAGCCGGCCGGCGCGAAAATCCTACACCGTTTTGTGTTTTTTTCTAAATCGCCCGGCGCGTTCTGACACCGTTGGAAACACACCTTGGTCAAACAGCTCTCTTCCTGGAAGCGTGCAACCGCACATAGGCGCATGGTTAGGCAGAAGCTTGACCGTTTTGCACATCCGCTGCGCGGGGACACTTCGACTTCTGTGACTCACACGACTGTGTGTGTGTGTGTGTGTAAGTAAGGCACGCCCGCGTTTCGCGAAAAACGAACCGGCCGGCGCAAAAAAGCGCCGCGCCCGTGGCCAGATTTGACGAAAACAAATCGGCCGGTGCTTTAAAAATACACATATTGACAAAAACGAGACGGACGGCGCAACTGCAATAATTCTGAATCTAAAATCATCGCGCCGCATGGTTAGAAGTCAAACCGAAACGGCCGCTGCAAAAACCGCTGTGTTTCCCTTTTA